TTTTTTTTTTTTAATGCTGGCAACAGGGAGAACGATAGCTGGTTTCGAATACCCTTTTCCTAGTCTAAAAGCTTCATCTGTTACAAGTAATAATTGCTGTCAAAGCGCCAACCTTCACAGGTAATCCATATTTTCTGAATAAATGAGAACAAATTCAAAGCTACTCCAATAATAAACTTATTCACAGTCCATGTGCCTTCCTGAGTGGAAGAAAAAGGAATCTCCGCTGGAGTGCTAAGAAGTCAGTGTGACCCAGAACCTCTTAAGCTATGTTTTGGGCTCTGGTGTGAGAAGACCTCAGGAAGAAGGTTGGTCCATCTGTAATTCAGGAAGCCACAGGAAAAAAATGACCTCTGTGACCCTCCAAATCTGTAATATTTACTATCTGGCCCTTTACAGAAGAAATTTGCTGACTTCTACTCTATCCTTATACCAGAATTCAAGGATTTGATCTCTGTATTAGTTAATACACTACATTTCAGAAACAAAAGAAAGAATCCCCTCTTAGGCTGCTGTCAGGAGCAGTCCCTCCCTTTCCCACCCCCACCCACCATCCCCCAGCTCCCACAAAACACATCGATCTCCATCACACTTTTCAAAGTCAGAAACTCAGCTGAAGAGTGATTTCATACAAGTACCTGCTCTGTTTTTTCTGCCTCAGCCTTGAGTACTGGCTCCTCCACTTCTTCATCGTATACACGCTAAATATGGAAGCAAACTCAATGTTAAAAGGTCAGCATCTCATTGGACATAAATCATAATATAAGAATTAAACACGAAGTAACTAAGGACAAAGATGGGGAAGGAGATGGTTATTCAACAAAGGGCTGAGACTACTACTAGTGGGTGTCCGTAACAGTGGGTCATGGACAAACAACAAAGAGTAGTCCATTCACCAAAATAAAAAAAAAAAAAATTTTAAATACAAATGACTAGGAAACATGATGAAACTTTAACCTCATTGTAAACCAAGAGCTGCAAAAACAGTATGATATCAGTTTTCACACCTTTTCATTTAACTTAATAATGTTGATGGGCAATGATACAGTATTCTCGCCCCAGGTTACAGAGAATGTTAACTGGTATAATTTATCACCTAGGAAACAAGAACTTTAGGATTTTGAACAAGTAAAATGGTAAAGGCAAAACTTATTTTCATTCAGTTGCTTAAAATGGTTGATAAATGTTTATTACCCCATTTGTATGAAAGCAGAGAGAAAAATCTACCACTGACTTGCCAGAAAGGCTGGGCACTTAACTGACCCTGAGAGCATGGGTAGGCAAGACTCTTTTCCAGAACAGACCCACGGCTCTGCCAGATCACTGTGATTCTTGGTTTTTAAAATTATTTTTATGTTTTAAAAACTACCAAAGTACAACACGCATGTTATAAAAAGTCAGTATAGGCCAGGTGCGGTAGCTCATGCCTGTAAGCCCAGCACTCTTGGAGACTGAGGCGAGGGGATCACTTGAGCTTAGGAGTTCAAGACCAGCCTGGGCAACATAGTGAGACCTCATCTCTACAAAAAATAGAAAAATTAGCCAGGTGTGGTGGTGCGCACCTGTAATTCCAGCTACTTGTGGGGCTGAGTCAGGAGGAACTCTTGAGCTGGGGAGGTAAAGGCTGCAGTAAGCCCTGATCGAACCACTGCACTCCAGCTTGGGTAACAAAGTGAGACCCTATCTCAAAACTAAAATGAAATGAAATTAAAATTTTTTAAAAAGAAAGAAATAAAAAGTCAATATAAATGAACTGATGAAAATCTTCTGGCATTAGTGGCTGTGATTATAAAACTTTATGAGTACACTAAAAACCACCAAACTGTATACTTTTTAAAGGAGTGAATTTTACGGTATGTGAATTCCATCTCAATTTTTAAAATTTTAAGTCAATATAAAGGCACATGTAAAAGAGACATATTTTAAACTAGTTCCCTCCCTACCCCCAACCTGATCCTTGGAATACCCAATTTAAGCCTGGTGTGTATGCTCGTTTCCTGAGCCTCTTAACACAAATATAAGCAAACACGTGCACATATTTAGAACTCTCCTACCCTTCCTGCTTATTTATTTATTTATTTAGAGACAGAGTCTAGCTCTGTCACCCAAGCTGGAGTGCAGTGGCACGATCTTGGCTCACTGCAACCTCCACTTCCCAGGCTCAAACGATTCTTTTGCCTCAGCCTCTTGAGTAGTTGGGATTACAGGCGCGTACCACCATGCCCGGCTAATTTGTTTTTGCCTTTTTTTTTTGAGACGGAGTCTTGCTCTGTCACCCAGGCTGGAGTGCAGTAGCGCCATCTTGGCTCACTGCAAGGTCCGCCTCATGTGTTCATGCCATTCTCCTGCCTCAGCCTCCCCGCCACCACGTCCAGCTAATTTTTTTTGTATTTTTAGTAGAGATGGGGTTTCACCGTGTTAGCCAGGATGGTCTTGATCTGCTGACCTCGTGATCCACCCGCCTCAGCCTCCCAAAGTGCTGGGATTACAGGTATGAGCCACCTTGCCTGGCCTGCATTTTTTTTTTTTTTCAGTAGAGAGGGGATTTCACCATGTTGGCCAGGCTGGTATCAAACTCCTTGACCTCAAGTGATCCGTCAGCCTTGGCCTCCCACAGTGCTGGGATTACAGGTGTGAGCCACTGTGCCTGGCTGAAACTGGTTATTTATTTATTTATTCTTTTTACGTAGAGAGGGATTTTACCTAGAGAGGGAATAAATAAATCTTAATAGCCATTACCAGATTCTGTGCACAAATGTGTAGAATTCCCTGTCACCAGCAGCATACTCAAGTGCCCATTACCCAAATCTTTGCCAGCAATGGCTCCTGTCCACTCATTTTTAAGTATCTGCCAATCTGATCAATGTTGTTTTTAAATGATCATATCCTCTAACCCAACATTCTACTTCTTGAAATTTAGCTCCAATGAAAATTATCATAAATGCAAACATCAGAATGTTCATGGTATCATGATTTCCAGCAGAAAGTCACAAATACCAAATTTATAATTCTATGCAATTCCAATCAAATGCTAATAAAATATTCTGTGGCACAATATAGTAAGATAATCCTGCCGGGGGCAGTGGCTCACACCTGTAATCCCAGCACTTTGGGAGGCTCATGCCTGTAATCCCAGCACTTTGGGAGACTCTCGCCTGTAATCCCAGCACTTTGGGGTCACCTGCCATCAGCAGTTTGAGACTAGCCTGGCCAACATGGCAAAACCCCATCTTTACTAAAAATATAAAAATTAGCTGGGTGTGGTGGCGGGCGCCTGTGATCCCAGCTACTCAGGAGGCTGAGGCAGGAGAATCGCTTAAACTTGGGAGGCGGAGGTTGCAGTGAGCCAAGATTGCGCAATTGCACTCCAGTCTGGGCAATAAGACTGAAACTCCATCTCGAAAAAAAATAAGTAAGTAAAAGATAATCCTCAAATTCACACAGAAAAGTAAAAAGCCAAAGACTGATAACCATGACAATTCTGAATAAAGAGAATATGGGACTTGCCCTAATAAGACATCAGAAATCTGCAGTATTTAAGATTATGATACTGGCAGATAGCAGACAAACAAAACAAACAGTAGAGGGCAGAAATAGACCCACAATTCCATGGAGGCCTGATTTTATTTTCACATAAACACACACAAACATTCATACGTAATAGTCAATGAGGAAAAGAACAACTACACAATAAAGGTTATCTATAAGGGATAAAAATGAAATCTCTCTCTAGGGAAAAAGAATAAAAAGTTAGCCAGGCATGGTGGTGAAAACCTGTGGTCCCAGCCAGCTATTTGGGAGGCTGAGGTAGGAGGATGGCTTGAGCCCAGGAGTTTGAGGCTGCAGTGAGCTGTTTGCACCACTGAACTCCAATCTGGGCAATAGAGGGAGATCCTGTCTCAAAAATAAAAAAAGAATAAAAAGGCAGAGACACCAAGGAATCCCCACCCAAAATGATTAGAGTCAAGGACAAATATGCGGGGTTGGCATCTTTCAAGCAAATGTGGCAAAATATGAAACTACTGATGCTAGGTGCTACATTTTCTTAGCACTTGTGGTTTCTCTCTGAAGTTTACTATTTATTTATGAAACATTTATGTTATTTATGAAACATTTCATAAATACTGGGAGATTAAATAAATTACGATATGGTTTAAGAACAAAAAAATTAAGTTCACAAAAGTCTCAAAGATGGGTTAAATAAGTTCACATTAAGAAAAAAAGTAGCCTGCAAATGCAAATACACACACACACGTAAAGTCATCTAGAAAAAGTTAACGTTAAAAAACAAGGACAGAAAGAAATACACTGAAAAGTTCAATGGTTGGTTAATTTGGAATAGCTGATTTTTTGTAGGTTCAATTATTTATTTATTTATTATTATTATTTTTTGAGATGGGAGTCTCGCTCTGTCGCCCTGGCTGAAGTGCAGTGGCGGGATCTTGGTTCACTGCAAGCTCTGCCTCCCTGGTTTACGCCATTCTCCTGCCTCAGCCTCCCGAGTAGCTGGGACTACAGGCCCCTGCCACTATGCCTGGCTAATTTTTCTGTATTTTTTAGTAGAGACGGGGTTTCACCATGTTAGCCAGGATGGTCTCGATCTCCTGACCTCGTGATCCACCCATCTCAGCCTCCCAAAGTGCTGGGATCACAGGCGTGAGCCACCGCGCCCGGCCTACTGTAGGTTCAATTCTTTTAAGCCTGACATCTGCATGGGAAATGGAATTAGACTATATGTACTAAACACTGGGAGTCTCCCCTTCAGCTGAGGAAATTTCACATGATTTTTCTTTTTCTTACTTTTCCTCATTGCTCTATAGATCAGAAATCACTTTGGTAATTTTCAAAGTCAGGACCCCAAAAAGGTAAGTAAATCTCAAAAGTGAGACTTTAAGACCTGGCAGCTACCAAGGTCACCTAGCAGCAGCCTGCAGCTAGAAAGCCAAACACGACATCTAAGAAACCTAAACCCATGGTACCTAAAGCCCATGGGGTCTTTTCAGGGTGAGCAGGACTATGCAGTCTCAAGTACTTTATATCCAGCAGATAACCAATGCTAACTTCTTTTATCCTCACCTGCTAAACTCACAGCTTCATGTGTTTTGTGATCAATTTACAGTCAGATAGCTATACCCAGGACTGTTAAGTATCTTTGTTATTGATCCTCATCTGGGGAGACGAGGTAAAAGGGGAAAGTGGGGAAGTGGGGAAAAAGGAACCAGGGCTGGAGAGTAACAGATTATACACAGCCCCGGTCCCTTTCATTCATGCGTACTCTCATTCATTCAAGTATTCACTGGGTCCCTAAATATCAGGCTTGTGCTGGACCCTTCAAATATATTTGTTGTTAAAAATATGGGGCTTGATTTAGCAGGAGGGTTCAACTCATCAAATCCCATCAATAACTGTAAAATTACAATTATAAGAAGTCTACTAAAGAATGTGATGCTTCAAGTGCTTTTATCCAGGGGGTCTGCCTAGTGCAGAGGGTCCAGGAGGAAGTAATATAATTGAGCAGAGACCTAGAAGACAGATAGATATCAATCAAAGGGTAGAGGTATAGGAAGCAATGTAAGCAAAGGCCTCATAGCAGCAGGGCATATGGCATTTCCAAGGAATGAGAAGGCTGGAGTCTCAAAAGCAAGAGGCATTATGTAAAACAAAGCAGGTCTAGGTGGTGAGGGAGAAGCCTGTGCAGGAAATTATATGCCAATAAGGCTTTTGGGCTTTACCTCCTTCTCTCTAATTGCTGAGTACTTGACAGTTTCAGCAACTCCGTCTGTTTCTTCAATAGAAAAGTAGAAAAGGAGGGAAAAATGACCAAAATTCAGCTTTCATAAATTAACAGGAAGATGATCTGGAAAATTAATCCATTTATGCCTAGTGTCCCATTATTGGAACGCTAAGCTTGTGGGAGTTACATATATCTTACTGCTCAAGGTCATTGCCAAGGTCTGGCTTCTCACAAAAAAAATTTAACCTTGGGCATAAATGGGTTAATTTGTTTCATTCTGGTTTTTTTTTTTTTTTAATTTTACAAAGCTAAGATTTTGAAACAACTGACTTTAAAAAGAAAAAATCCTCCCTCACCAGTTCATTTAACAAACTAAAGTCATTAACTATGGCACTTGGTATTTCAGGATGCAATTCCTAATTAACAGATTAATTAAGCCTTTAGAATTGTGTTGCCTTCTAATTAGACACTAGAACACTGGCCAATGTTAATTAGTATTTCTTCTCCCTCCGAGTCCCCTCTTGAGCCTTTACTAATGGTACTAATTTCTCTTGCCCTAGAAAGTCCTGACTGTTCTCGCCCTAGAAAGTCCAGATTGTTTCACTAACTTTATAATACAGTTTGCAACTTTGTGGCTGCCTCTGAGGCTAATTAATAAAACCCAGAAAGTTATCTGACTTTGAATGTTTCTGATAAATTACCATGAAACCAAATGGCACCATAATTCAAGCTGGAATTGTAATACCCAAGTACTGATGTCAGGATTTAAAAAAAAAAAACATTAAAAAGCCAGATTGCCAGGTACGGTGGCTCACGCCCATAATCCCAGCACTTTGGGAAGCCACGGCGGGAGGATCATGAGGTCTGGAGATCGAGACCATCCTGTCTAACACGGTGAAACCCCATCTCTACTAAAAATGCCAAATTAGCCAGGTGTGGTGGCAGGCACCTATAGTCCCTGCCACCAGGAGGCTGAGGCAGGAGAATGGCATGAACCCAGGAGGCAGAGCTTGCAGTGAGCTGAGATCGCACCACTGCACTCCAGCCTGGGTGACAGAGTGAGACTCCATCTCAAAAAAAAAAAAAAAAAAAAGCCAGATCACTTACAAATATATATCAGCAAGTAGATTTTTTCACAGTTTTATTAAGCATCAACTGTTTTCTCAGTATCATCATGCTCTGCCACAAATGAAAAAAACCTACATAGCATGTGGCCTTATAAAAGGTCTGGGAAGTAATTAAGATTTGGCAGTGGCAACTGGCACATCCGGAGAAGAGTTCTGGCAGCAGACTGGAAGGCGAAGGGGCATCAAGACTTTACACTAAGGGCCGAGCGCAGTGGCTCACGCCTGTAATCCTAGCACTTTGGAAGGCTGAAGCACGATAATTGCTTGAACCAGGGAGGCAGAGCTTGCAGTGGGCAAATTGCTTGAGGTTAGGAGTTTGAAAGCAGCCTCACCAACATGGTGAAACCCTGTCTCTACTAAAAATACAAAAAAAAAAAAATTGGCCAGGCTGGTGGCGGGAGCCTGTAATCCCAACTACTTGGGAGGCGTGGGCAGGAGAATTGCTTGAACACGGGAGGCAGAGGTTGCTGTGAGCCGAGATCGTGTCACTGCACTCCAGCTTGGGTGACAAAGCAAAGCTCTGTCTTGGAAGAAAAAAAAAAAAAAAGCTAAGGCTAAAGAGATGGAGAGATGGATGGAAAACGGGAAATCCCCAGTAGTGGACAGAAATAAAGAACAATTACCAAAACACAATAAAACAAAACCACGAAAACTACATCATGGAAAATTCAGAATCTACGAAAACTTGGCTACAAAAGAAGAGCTGGAGAAAAGACAAGACCTAAGACAGTGATTCAGAAAAACTATATGATGTTCCCCATTTCTCCCCACTGAAGTGTGGATCTGGTACCAATCTAGTACCAATCTAGTACCAACCCGGTACAGGCACACTGGGGACAAAGAAAACGTCCCTTGCCAGGCCGGGTAGTTCAGGCCTGTAATCCCAGCACTCTGGGAGGCCGAGGCAGGTGGATCACGAGGTCAGGAGATCGAGATCATCCTGGCTAACTCGGTGAAACTCCGTCTCTTCTAAAAACACTAAAAATGAGCCGGGCGTGCTGGCGGGCGCCTGTAGTCCCAGCTACTCGGGAGGCTGAGGCAGGAGAATAGCGTGAACCCGGGAGGCGGAGCTTGCAGTGAGCCGAGATGGCGCCACTGCACTCCAGCCTGGGTGACAGAGGGAGACTCTGTCTCAAAAAAAAAAAAAAGAAAAAAGAAAACTTCCCAGGTCCTTTGCGACTGGTGCTGCAGCACTGACTATAGGGAAGTGCTGACTAACTGATCCAGCAAGAAAAGTACAGAATGAAAAGAACAGGAGTGCTTAAAAGGACACCAAATTAATCTTGATGAAAACATTATGGGGCTATGCACACCAAGGAAGTTGAGTCTTGAGTCCCTGACTCTTCCAGTGAGATAAATGAGCAGGACCAAGCATGGACATTCTGTGTAGACAATCAGAAAACTACTGATTTCACTTGAATACTTTTTTTTTTTTTTTTTGACATGGAGTTTCGTTTGCTGCCCAGGCTGGAGTACAATGGCTCACCACAACCTCCGCCTCCCAGGTTCAAGTGATTCTCCTACCTCAGCCTTCTCGAGTAGCTGGGATTACAGGCACGTGCCACCACGCCTGGCTACTTTTGTATTTTTTTAGTAGAGACGGGGTTTCTCCATGTTGGTCAGGCTCGTCTCCAACTCCTGACCTCAGGTGATCTGCCCGCCTAGGCCTTCCAAAGTGCTGGCATTACAGGCGTGAGCCACTGCGCCTGGCCGAATACTCGTTATTTTTCAAACTCATGAGTACTCCTTTGCTGTTAAAGGAAGTAACTGGCAAAGAGATCTCTAAGACCTTTATTAATATCTTTATTTTACATATAGCTCTCCAAAAAAAGACAGGAAGTGTCACTTAACTCGAGCTACTAAAAAATGCACAAACATGCTGCGCAAGTTGACGACATGGCATTATCTGATGTTCTCTTAACTATTCTAAATCTTAGGCTTTTTAAATAATTTTGTGATTCTGAAAATTTTATTACTTTATATCTAACAATCTCAGGAGATAGGTTACTTCAATAATCCTTTTTCCACAAATGAACACTGATATTCAGAAAGCTAGGACACCCTATGAGAAACACAGGTCTGTTACCTAAGCTTCCTCTCTATCTTCATCTCTTAAGTCTCCACTCGGTTCCAGCCACACTTACTTCCTTTGTATGCTGGAATTACACTATTTGCCAAGGGAGAGGCTCTATCTAATTTACCTGTGTATTCCTACCATCTAGAAGAAACTCAGTAAACAGACAAAAATCACACATAGATTTAAGCTCAGTAATCTGTTTACAGCTGATTCCATATCATAAGTTCAACCATCATAAACTTTAGTTGAGAATATTGCAAGTAGACATATATATCCCCTGAATATAATTTATCAGAACATAATCAACCCAATCAACAACTGAAACCACATGCTGGTGTCCAGAGGGGCTAACCAGGTATACAGCTGTCCTTACAGATCACGCCACAACAAAGGTAGTGTGAGTGCCACAAAATTCAGCACAATTGCTGACTACTCTCAAAACTGACAAAAGATGGAAGCACTAAAGTATAAGAAAATTTTATCATTAGACTTTTTTAGAGGCTTGGAAAAAAGGACTTAAAACTTTACAAATAAAAAAGAGGCATTAATCCCAGAGAAAAAAACTGCGATTACCAAGAACCATACTTCCACCAAAATTTAGGAGGGAACCTAACAGTAAGTTATTTAAAATTACAGTATCTCCTACTCCCAAAAAAAGAATTATGATATAACTAAATAACTCACATTTTCAATGAACTGGGTATTAGAGAGCATAAGGAAGTCATTGAAGACATTATGCAGGCGACAATCTGTGGCTTTGGTTTCCCGTATTAGTCCGTCCACTTGTTTCTTGATTTCATGGGTCCTAGAGATAGTTTGCTGTGAGAATTCCTGTAGAAACTGTAGTAGCTATTTTAAAAAATAAACATACAGTAGTATCAGTGTTACATGTATCTATTTTGCATGTCATATCAAAAAAGAACCCATTTCCTTTCACCTTTGAGTGTGAGAATGCTAAAGAAATGCTTTTTTTTTTTTTTTTTGAGACGGAGTCTCAGTCTGTCCTCCGGGCCGGAGTGCAGTGGCGTCATCTCGGCTTTGTTGGTCAGGTTCGTCTCCAACTCCCGACCTCAGGTGATCTGCCCGCCTAGGCCTTCCAAAGTGCTGGGATTACAGGTGTGAGCCACTGCACCTGGCCGAATACTTGTTATTTTTCAAACTCATGAGTACTCCTTTGCTGTTAAAGGAAGTTTAACTTTAAACTTCTCCTGCCTCAGCCTCCTAAGTAGCTGGAATTACAGGTGCCCACCACTACGCCCAGCTAATTTTGTGTATTTTTAGTAGAGACAGGGTTTCACCATGTTGGCCAGGCTGGTCTCGAACTCCTGACCTCATGATTCGCCCGCCTCGACCTCCCAAAGTGCTGGGATTACAGGTGTGAGCCACCGCGCCTGGCCGGAATGCTGCTTTTGACAAGTACTAAGACCACGTGACACTGAAAAACTCTAAGAAAGCTCATCAAAAGAGTGGCAGTGAGCTAATGGGACACCGATCTTGTTTCTGGAAAAATTTAAAATCCTTGTCTGGCACTGGGTGTGGTGGCTTACGCTTGTAATCCCAGTACTTTGGGAGGCTGAGGCGGGGTTATCGCTAGAGTCCAGGAGTTGGAGACCAGTCTGGGAAACATAGCAAGACCCCCATCTCTACCAAAATCACATAAATAAACAAATCAGCCAGGTGTGGTGGACGCCTATAGTCCCAGCTACTCAGGAGGCTGAGGTGGGAGGATCACCTGAGCCCCGGAGGATTCAGTGAGCCAAGATCGAGCCACTTGCACTCTAGCCTGGGTGACAGGGCAAAACCCTGTCTCTTTTTAAAAGTCCTCTTTGGTTGTCAATCTACAGAGATCACAGACCAAGGGTGAGGTAATCAGCCACCACTCTTACTCAAAAATGCTATTCATCTGGGACTCTGGAACAGTTCTGAGCTTTTTGGGTCCCCGACTTGAAGAATCCCACTAAAGGATATCCACATACTGGCTTGCCTCCCACCCCAGTTAGTCCAGGTCCCAACAGGAATCGCCTCCCTAGTGCCCGAGCAATCCCTCAGCGTGGCCGAAACGGATCTCCCCTCTGGATGGAGCTGAGTGCATTGCCAGAAACCCCGTGAAGGGAACGCCGCGTCTGGGCCGCGGTCAGGGTCTGCCCCATCCCTCGTGGCCGGGGACTGCCAGGGTGGCATTCTCGGGGGCTAAGCGGGGAGTGTGTTCCTAAGAGGGCAGGCAACGGGACGGGCGAGGTGCAGGGGCAGTCGCCGCCCGGTCCTCCGGCGCGCAGGCCAAGCGTCACCCCTGCCGCCCTCGCGTCCCCGGGGCCCGCCTCTCACGCCCGCGTCGGCCGCCAGCGACCAGCTCTGGCTGCTCCTACGGATCTCCTCCACCGACCACGGCCGCTCCCACACGGGCTCCGACGCCGGCGCCTGCTCTTGGTCTGGGGTCGTCCGGTTCATCTGCAGCGAAAAAAACGAGAAGACAGGCTGAGCCTGAGGGCAGCACGGACGGCGACCCCAGCCCAGGCCGGCCCCTCTCCTGCCCGGCCGCAGCCCGGCCCGCAGCCCTCACCATCCCAGCCGCCCGGCTCGGTGGGCTCCGAGGCCACCCGCACGCGCAGAGGACCGCAGAGCCCCGGAAGCCCGGTCCCAGCCAAGTTGCCCGGGGCGTGACCGGCCTCACGTGACCTGATGTCACGTGACAGAGCCCGCACGTGATCCGACCTGCGATGCTGAGGAGATGAAGCTGCGGAAGTGGACTGGGGGTGGAGTTTGGGGTTCTACGCTAGGTTGGGGCGAAGGAAGCTGGAGGAGAGGGGAAGACACCAGGGAAAGGTGCGGAGGCGGGTTGCCTGGGTGGCGCTGCGGCCTAAGGCCCGAGGCAGAGGCGCGGGATCGGCCACAGCACGGGCCGCCAGTCCGGCGGGTCTGGAGAGAGGGGACCTCAAGCAGCCAGTGGAGCAACCGGTCTGGGAGCCTTCGAAGTCGGCGCTGTGGGCGAAGGAAAAGGCCTGGCCTGCTGCCTCTTCTCTTGCAGCAAAATCCGCTGCTGTGAAGGAGCTGGCAGGCGGGCGCTCTGTAGATAGAGAATCCTCATCTGCCTGGGCATCATCTTGCTCTTTATGACCTGCTTGGCTGCTACTGTGTAGGGCCTGCTTTGCCCTCTCAGCCTTGCTCTCAAGTTCAAGGACAAGCTTTTCATTATGACAGGCATAAAGCTCTTTATAATTCGTCCTCCACTCTCCCAGCTCAGGGCTCCAGCTGTTCTGTCTCACACTTCCTTGAAGTTCCTCTGCTGAGTCGCCCTTGTGCCAGACAAACTTACTTATTGCAATAAAAATCCCACTTTCTTTCCAGTCATGTGTGCCCAAGGGCGAGTTATTTAACTTTTCTGAGCTTTCCTCAGTGAAACGAAGCTACCTGTCTTGCAAGGATGTGATATTAAAGTGATAATATTGTAAAACAGCTGCCACGGTACTTGGCCTAGGGTGAGCCTTCAACCTAGAACATGCTACTGCCCCCATGCAGCTTGCTCACACCCAATCTCCGACTTTTCTTTTGTAGTCACCTCAGTTATCACCTCTTTAAATAACAACCTGATTATGCCAAGTGCAGCTTAAGTGACTTAAGTTATTTTCGATGGCTAGCGGAAGGGACTGCGCTACATTGGAGAGCTGGAGTGGTCTGGAGTTCCACGGTGTGGTGGGCAAGAGGCCACCCCTCCTGCGGCCTCTCAGTGTCTCGCCAGCGGCGTTCAGCCCAAGCTAGATAGACACAGCCCTTGACCGATTTAAACATTAAACAATACAGCTGCCTGAAATCTTTGGGAATTTCAGAATGACTGACACTGCTGAAGCTGTTCCAAATTTTGAAGAGATGTGTGCTAGTAGATTCACAGAAGATGACAAGGAGTATCAGGAATACCTGAAACACCCTCCTGAGTCCCCTCCAATTGTTCAGTAATGGAATAGCAGAGCTGGTGGGGACCAAATAAACAGGCAATCGGTTGCAAGATAACAGTTCAGAGGCAGGGACGGTAGATGAGAGTGGCAAAGTGACAACGGATCCAATCAGCAGCGTGGACAATTCTGGGATAACAATTACCCGCAACACAATCAAGAACCTTACTATCCCCACTAATATGAACGTTAACAACCAGCGGCCTCCTTACAGTTGCTACTGATAGAAATGTTGGCAGCTTTTAGTAAGAGCATTTACTCTGTTACTATGACAAAAGTTTGGGTGTCTTCTGTCGGTCATAGTTTTCCATGTGATTTTACAGAATGGATTATTGATTTTTTGGAATTTGAGACTTAAAAAACGTAGATCTTACTTGCGAGATGTGATGGTTGCTGGGAATACCTGAAATTGTGGATTATATTGCTTGACTTCTACCTCAGAGTATTCTTTGTTTCATGACTTAATAGTGCTCTGAGTTTGGTATATTTTTCTTATTTGACCTCTAGGAATTCTTCGTTTTACACGGAAATAAAAATTTTAAAATAGAAAATGCTTGCTTTTACTTTGTAAGGTAAGAGACTATCCATATGCTTAGATGCGCTTGTTTCTAAAATTCTAGAGGTTAATACAATCAGCTCATGAATGCACAGCTATGCTTCTTTTGATAGATCGTACATAACATCAGCAGTTGAAAAGTAAAACAATTGCTTATCTTCTTTTTTTTTTTTTTTTGCTTTTGTTATGTCACTATGGTACTTTGTGATTCCTTACCCTATAAATAATGAGTCAACTCCAAATTTATTTGGGTCTCTTTTTAGAGGGAAATCAGTAAAAAAGCTGTAAAATAATGAAGGGAAAAAAGTCATTATTGATGTATTTATCCTAAGGTATTACATTGTATCGTAATCATTTAAATATTGGTCTCTCCTTTAGTAATAGCTAACATTTATCAAGTGTTCAGTATTTACCACTTTATACATTTTTCATTTAATTCACACAATGACTATGAGGGAGGGGATATTATTTCCAGATTATAGTTGAAGAAACTGAGGTACAGAAAGGAGCAACTTAGTCATGATTAAGTAACCAGGAAAGAGACAGACCCAAGAACCCACACTGTGAACCAATATGTTACAGTAACATATAACTGTTAACACTAAGGCTGGGCTGGCGTGGTGGCTGACACCTGTAATCCCAGCACTGTGGGAGACCAAGGCAGTTTTGACACCAGCCTGGGAAACATGGTGAAACCCCACCTCTACAAAAAAAAAAAACAAAATTAGCTGGACGTGGTGGCATAGGTCTGTAGTTCCAGCTACTCAGGAGATGGAGGTGGAATGATTGCTTGAGCCGTGAGACCAAGGTTGCAGTCAGCCGAGATTGCACCACTGCACTGCAGCCTGGACAAAGAGTAAGACTGCTATCTGCAAGAAAAGTCTTAGTGTCTTAAGGGGACTTCATTTTTAAGTCACCATGTACCAACCTCTTCCACTTCCCTCACATTCATTAAAATACACACACACACACACACACACACACACACACACACTCTTTAGAACTTGGAACTTGGTTGGTAAAGTTGAGGCGAGTCAATTACCAAACTTGCATTTCATCTAACACCATCATGGGCAACTTCAGTGGCCACGTACTTAACACCCTTAATCTACGTCCCACACCCTGGACTTTATCACTGAAACATTGTGACTTCAAAATCTGAACTTCTCCTGAATAGGGTAGCCTATTTATTTATTTGTTTAGAGACAAGGTCTCACTCTGACACCCAGGCTGGAGTGCAGTAGCATGATCTTGGCTCACTGCAACCTCCACCTCCTGGGTTCAAGTGATTCTCATACCTCTGCCTCCCAAGTAGCTAGGATTACAGGCGTGTGCCAACATGCCCAGTTAGTTTTTGTATCTTTAGTGAAGATGAGGTTTTGCCATATTGGCCAGGCTTGTCTTAAACTCCAGACCTCAGGTGATCCACCTGCCTCAGCCTCCCAAAGTTCTCTGATTATAGGCATGAGCCACAACGCCCAGTCACAAACAGTTTTTCAAAACAGTACAGTACAGTAATTAAAACCACTAGCTTAGGCAACAGGTTGGTTTTGTGTGCTGCAGCTAACCTCAAAGTTGTAAGGATTAAATCAGATAATAAAGTGCTTTTAGTAACATGCCTGGCACAGTTCATTGATTCAAATATTGAAAAAAAATTTTTTTAATGATACATACTACTGTGTACCTTAGGAAAAATTAGAATTTAACAGATATGGCTAAGTTTGAGCCTTCCAGTCCTTTCCTTCGCTGCATACTCTTCAGAGGTAACTGGGATCATGCTCTGGGAACGTGTCTTTCCACGTCTTTTTCTTTGCTTTTATAAACATATGTTTCCATAGAAATGCTTGTATATAGAGGGGGCACCGTATCATGCTGGATTTGTTATTCGGCACTTTTTTGCTTGATCTACCTTGGATGGCTGTCTAATTGTTACAGCTTTTACCTTTTAACTATTACTCAGTATTCTTACTAAGGCAAGACTATGCTGATGTTGTTTATATTTCTCTAGTAATAGGCCAGGCACGGTGGCTTATGCCTGTAATCCCAGCACTTTGGGAAGCCAAGGCAGGTTGATCACCTGAGGTAAAGAGTTTGAGACCAGCCTGGCCAACATGGTGAAATCCAATCTCTACCAAATACAAAAATTAGCCAGGCGTGATGGTGGGTGCCTATAATCCCAGCTACTCAGGAGGCTAAGGCAGGAGAATTGCTAGAACCCAGGAGGCGGAGGTTACCGTGAGGTGAGATCACCCCATTGCGCTGCAGCCTGGGCAACAAGAATGAAACTCCTCAAAAATAAAAAAGTAAAGAAATAAATCAAAAGATTTCTCTAGTAACAGACAATCTTGATATCTTAATATTTTGCTTTTCATATTCTTGTTACATTCTTATTAAAGAATGCATTTTTATTTAGATTTGAAGTAAATCTTGTGTATTATTTGTTACAGCACATCTTTTGCTTCATAACTTGCTGCATCATGATTATGATTATTATTTTTAAAAGCTGTTACCTTTCTGAAGGAGGAACCTAAAGGCTAAGTGACAGTATCTCTTCTTTAGCTTAATAACTAGTAGTTCTAATTTGGTATTTTATACTCTTAGCACACCACACAAATGAGTGATGAGGAAGAGGATGATGATGGCTGTGACCTTTTGGCCGTCCTTTGATGTATTAAAGCAGAAAATTAGAATTAAAATCTAACACTTTATACCAAATGGTTCTCATGTATTTAGACACACCCGCAAACGACACTGTGGTCGAAGAGTAATTTCATGTTCGAGTTAAATACAAACAAAACAAGTGCATTAACGGTTAATACATTAGTGTTCCAATATACACATTCATACATCCCGACACAACATATACGACACAGGAACAAACTCGACCCAGTGGGAACACAGGGTCATCTCACAAACCAAAAGAAAAGGTCGCAAAGGCCACCTGAGCCTCAACAAAAGGAGAATACAGAGCGTACCAGGTCGGCATAAAAGCCTTCCTATACAGGCTGCTCCAAGACCCTTTGAAACGCCGCTCAACCCATAAAAGACAAATCCTCGTCCCCGAGCCAGGCTTTAGAAAAATGCAATAAATTTGAACAAAAACAACATTAAACTCACTGTTACCGGAATCATTTCTTTAGAAAGATACAAATCACTATTATAGAACTTGTTACCCATGACATATAATGACCACCACGAGACTCGGCGGAGCCACAGAACATAGGATTTTCCGCTTTCCGCG